ATGTGCTTCAGTTTTTGTGGTGAGGGATTCAAGATGTGAGCAATGATTTTTACTCTGGAGGGTATATCCTAGCATACCCATGGCCATTGGACCCCTAAAAATATCACTCAAGCTGTCTACATCGGACTCCTAAAATCTTCACCGAAAATCCAGGCAGGTCCCTGAATCTTTGTAGCATTTATCTTCCACCCTTGGGAGCACACACGTCTTTTACCAAGGCCTCCAGTGTATGAGCCACCTGTTGCTTGTTCTGCTGATCAGCATAAAGTTACTAATGTAATGATCAGTATGAAATTCTGTGGGATGAAAAAACAGTACAGATCTCTTTGGACTACATTCTTATGAAAGGTAGAAGAGGGCTGGGTGCGGTGGCTCACGCCTGTAATCCCAGCACTATGGGAGGCTGAGACAGGAGGATCACCTGAGGTCAAGAGTTCGAGACCAGCCTGGCTAACACGGTGAAACTCCGTCTCTACTAAAAATACAAAAAAATTAGCCGAGTATGGTGGCACATGTCTGTAGTACCAGCTACTCAGGAGACTAAGGCAGCAGAATTGCTTGAACCCAGGGAGCAGAGGTTCCAGTGAGCCAAGATCGCATCACTGCACTCCAGCCTCAGCAACAGAGCGAGACTCCGTCTCAAAAAAAAAAAAAAAAAAAAGGTAGGAGAGTTAACATAGCCCTGAGGCAAAACCTTAAGTAAATATTGTCTGCCCCATGTGAATACAACTGTTTGACCTTTTCTGATTGAAATGGAAAAGCATGCATTTGCCGTATCAATTGCTATATACCATGCTACTGCTCTAACAATGGCATCTGTCTAGCAAAGCAGCTGTGTTCAGGGCTACTATTCAATTAACTCTGCAGTAGTCTACAGTCCTTCGAGTCTTTAATGGTAGCAATAATCTATCACCCTCCTCCCATTCCACAGAATGTGATCTTGTTTTATTATTATTATTATTATTATTATTATTATCTTGGCTGGGAGAAAGGAGGCAGTTTTAGGCATTTCTACTTGTCCTTCCTCACTGTGATAACTCTTACTCCACCAGACAAGCATCCTGTGTAGGAGTTACTCCAACTGCCAGGTATATCAATTCCAATTATATACCCACGGCCTGGGGAGATGGCTATTGGGTAGGTTTCTAAACCTGGTGGGCCCATTGTGAGCCAGACTCTAACCAGGATTCCATCTATTACCTGGTCCCGAGAAGCTTCCACTCTAACAGGGGTGCCATTAGATATTTTGGTGCTCTAGGTATCAACGTGAACTTAGAATCTATGTCCAATAATCCTGAGTGTTCTATTTTCACAAGTTTCCCAAAAAAGTGCCCCCAAGTCTAGAAATCATTGATGATCTACAGTCTTATATTTTATCCCCTTTGATCAAGCACCTCACCTCAAAATCCAATATCTGATCAGACTGGCCAACCCCCTTGCTTATGCCAATATATGCTAATTCTTAGAGCTCTTTCTGTGTATTCTCTCTCTCCTTCCTTATCTAAACCAGGCACTTTTCCAGTTGGGTTACACTGGGATTTAATCTTAGTTGAATGCCTATTGGCCAGGAAAGGGGGTGAGGAAAGCTACTGAGGAGAGAAACGGTTGCCTTGAAGGTGGGAGGGCTTCCGCAGTACCTTCCAACACAGGAGAAGAGTGGGCCAACTCTGTGAACTTGAAGAGCTCATGGGAACCCATGCAGAAGTTACTTACTACACATTCCAGTCTCAGATTTCCCTAACCTGGGCCCTGATTTTGGCATAGCAGATGTGCCTTGACTGACCTTTTATACATCTCTGGAGCTCTGCAGCTCTATAAGATGTTCTATTTGCCACTCCTTAGGTCTGATCTCCCACTGCAGCTTCACTAGCAGAGTGGTCCTCCCATTTATGCTGTAACTGCTTGCTAATGGATATATATTTTTTACTATCCTCTCAGCAGCGTGTTAATACAACTTAGCAGTAGCTAGTGCAGTGAACTATCTTTGAAGGCATTATTCGCCTGTATTTTTCAAATGCCTGCATAAGCACACCTGCAAAAGCACTGCCCTCAACTAGGAAGTTTTTCCAAATCATGTCAGATGAAACCTTTAAAAACAGGACTACCGCTAGGTGCCAGGTACTATCCATACTACACAGGAAGGCATCTCTGACAGCTGGATGGTGAATATGCCAAGTCAGTGTCCCATCTCACTGCCCATTATCTCAGACCATTCCTGACATTGCCTGTGTTAGTTTGGGTCCTCCAGAAGCCAAAACCAAGAAAGAATTAGATGCACAACATATTTACAGGGAAAATGTCTGTGAGGAAAACTGAGAGGGAGCCACAGGAGCCTGGGAGAGTCATCACACCATGATGAAGAACTAGACGCTTAGTAGGGAAGAGAAGGAAAGAGGGTTGGGTAAGAAAAGTCTCAGGCTATCTCTGGTGCAGTTCTAAGAAATTTTCAGGAAGACAAATGGAGAACCTTTGAGGCCTGTCTTGCAGAAACATACCTGCCTTAAAATCCTTACCATGCTTAATCACTGGCTTGGGAGCAACTTGTTAGGAAGAATGGCTTCATACAAATGTAGCAGAATTCACAATACAGCACAGCTGGGCTATCAGTCAACTATGCCCCTGTGGTGGGAAATCTGAGACGCACATTTTCATGGTTGCCATAGGTACAGTCCATGAGTCAGGAACTGGAATACTACTGCAGCAGCATACCACCACCTAACCTGGCATTCTCCCTAAAATAAAACGCTGCACTAGTAGTGCTGTTCCCCCTCTACTCCCAGGCTGTCCAGCCATCCTACTCGCACAGACCCACTCCTCATCTCAAGACCATTATTTAACTATTTTATAAATTTACTCCCATAAGATTCCTAGATTACCCAAGACTTTTCCCAAATTTTAACATTTCCTTAGCTTATACTGGATGTAAAAATACCCTGAATTTAATTAGTTCCTATGCTTAAAGATTCCACTGTGTTTTGTTTTGTTTTGTTTTGTTTTCTCATGAAAGTTCACCTGAAATCTTTCAGGTGACCTGGAATAAATGGCTGAATGATATTTTGAAGTATTGACATTTCTTCTCTATTCTGCACTCACCAAAATTTTTCATTTAAAACACGAGAAGATCTCTTCCCTCCCCTCCCTGCACAACTAAGCATGAAACAATCACTGCAGAACCCAAAACATAAGTTGCAAATATTAGACTACTGGGCTAAAATAAAATGCCTTTCATCTACACAGAGGAAGGAGTCAGATATAGATTTGGTGAGTGAATGTTTCAACTCATGAAAACTAGACAAATGACACTATGGGCTGGAGATGAAGAGAAGGCAGGACCACAATGCAGTCTGAAGTCTTTAATGTAGTGGGGGTGGGTCATTAGCCCCTACCGAAATTATAGAACAGAAATAAGTTACAGTATTGCAGCTAATGTTCAGTGATGTATCAGTAAAGTCTTATGTTTATTATCTATTTAACATAACAGATTGAACACATATTCACTAGAAATTCTTAAACAAAAATTAAAAGATTTAGAACAAATATTTAGAACATTCATTTCAGTAACAGTCTTCATTCCTCCATGGTTCTAGAATAGCAAAATAAACTGAGTTTGTATCCAGTGCTAGACTCTTATTTTAAATCTAATAAATAGTGATATACCTAATAAATTAAAACAGACTACTATGCCAAGTTGTATAAGTCACATAAATGTAAACATACATTGAAGCAAACCTAAAATCCTCATTCACATTCACTACAAAACTTTATGCAGCATAAATTACAGTATAAACAGTGTAAATATGTCTCATTTTGCAATAGACTTCAGTTGCATAAGGTAAAACTTGAAGCTTCACCCAAGGATTTAGCAGCCTGAAATTTACCCAGCATAATATAAAGAAGTTGTGTTACCCTCCATGCAGGGAAACTTGAGAGCCCACATGGCAAAAAAAAACCTAGGCCATTTCCCCAAGCAATGTGTCCTTCCATCTGGAAACAGGTGGATTTGATAAGTAGTCACTAGAAGATCATGTTACCACAAATTATACACTGTTGTAGCCTCCTGAAGTAATTAAGTTATAACTATTAGAGGAAGAAACAAAACTATGAATTATTTTACAGTCCTTACAACTTGTACTATTTCCTGAGAATTTTGTATATTAACACTTTGTAATACCTTTGTAAATAATTCGGAAGCCCACCCTCTCAATGCCCCCCAAAAAGAATGGATGTCATCACTGTAATCATCCTGGATAAAAAAGCACCTGCCACTCCAGGGGGAAGAAGCAACTAGAGCACACAGAATTTGATCATGAAGAAGCCTCATTTTGTCTTTCCCTCCTAAGTTTCCAGTTCCACCTAGGCCTTTGATTCAATTCAGAAAGAGAGACCATACCAGCAAAAAAGCAGAAAAACTGGCGGAGGTGAAAGTTGATCACTACTTAACGTTGAGCAGAAAATAAGGACTTATTAAGCAATACTTCTAAATGATTTTCAGAATTCTAATCCTCTCATTCATTGACTTAAAAATAATGTATCTATTACTTAGGGGTCTGGCAAGGTAAAGGGCATCTCCTCTGATCTTTGCCCAAAAATTTTCCTAAAATACTCCATATTATAATATAGTCCATTATAATATATCCATATTATAAATGCATATATTTACTAACTTTCCTTAGGATGAAAAGATGGCTTAAATAATCATTCGCTTAGTTTTAACACCCAAAATAATGGTTGCTATGTAAATTCTAAGGTTTTTTCCCATAAAATAATAAAGAAGTTTAGAGGAAGCCAAAAATAATTTAAATGAATCCAAGTTTAATTTAAAAGTTACATCTAAAAGAAGAGATGTACAAAGCAGCAGTTGTAGACTCATTAATAAAATGGAAAAGCTGGTAATTAGAAAATTCATGTAATTGCATTGATATGCTAATCTAAATTTTATGTATAAAGTTAATTTAAAAGTATGTAGAATAAGTATTAATTCTGACAATAACACTTGCATGCATATGGTAACAATATTTAACTAAAGGTATTATTAAATAGCAAAGAAATACTATTAATTTATAAAGAAGGTAGTTTTTCTATTCAACTACTAAAGTCCCAATTCTAATAAAACACATCAAAAGTAACATACATTGAAGCAAACCTAAAATCCTCATTCACATTCACTACAAAACTTTATGCAGCATAAATTAAATAATTATGATTCATTTAAGGTTTCATCTTTAGGTTCTTCATAATCTTCTTTGGGAAACATCCAAAGATAGGTTAATCTAAATTAAAAAATGACAAAATTGAATTCTTGTTAATATAAAATATCATCATCAGTAGTCACTGAAATTTTTTAGCATTTCTAAGGCTATAAAGCAACCGTTAGAAACTCCCTGTACTTAATTGTTTTAATGACTTTTACTTTCTCTAGTTGAACATAAAAAGTTTCCAACACACTCAGTGTGTAACTCATATTTTTCTTTTCAACTCCAACTCCTGCCAATACCTTTGGTGACTTCAACAGTCCCATTTACAAGAAATGTGTCACAGAAACATTGTATCACAGGCCTTCACCTCCAGGCCACTTACTCACAACCAAGGCCATTGCCTAGACAGTCATCACTGGAACCTGTGCTTTACCTCTAGGTGCTGAAACTTTTCAAATGTTCGTAGATAACATATTTTTATGCTCCTACTTTTTAGACCCCTATACTCTCACTAAGCAAGGTCTCTGCCCTCCTTCGAACTCCCAATCCCGTGATCTTCTGCAAGTTTCATTTGTCTCCCTCCTCAGCCCCACAATAATCTCTCTCATTACTCCTGACTCCAAATAATCCCTGTAATCCCTATAATCCCTGACTCCAAAACCGAAAATTCCTCTTTATCCTCAGCATTGCCTGATACTCTGTACTCAGTCCTCTCCTCTCTCTTCATCTTCACATTAAAGTTTTCATCTACATCTACTGTTAGAACTACATATGACCTTTATGCACTGCAGATATCACACTACCTCCCTTACAACACTTCCAATAACTTGCTTAGCATTTTTGCCTGGGTACCTCACTATTACCTAAAATTCAACATGCCAAAAGTAAAACTCAGTACCTTCATGAAATGAGTCCTTTCTCCTGACTTCCTTATTTCTTATTCACTCTCAAAATTCAGTATCATCTTATCCCCATACCTGATCATTTGTCTTCTCTCTGCACCCTCTGCAACCCTCATTTAAGTGCATTTTACTTTTCACTTGGATGCTATTACAATCCCCAGATTTTCTTTTTCACCTCCTATTTCACCTCCATTCCAAATATTTCCACAAATGACATCATATTCTTTCTAAAATGCAAATCTCATAGCTCCACTGCTTTAAAATGTTCTTTATATTCATAAAGAAACAAGATATTTGCATACCCTTATTATCTTCCTATGAAATACTTATTACAAAAGGAAAAATAGTAACTATAAATGGGTAACAACTTAACCAAGAGCTCAAAGTTAACATCATCAATAAGGGATCAGTGAAGATCACATAACTCAAGATGCGATCCTTTGGAAAGTTATATTACATATACAACATTCCAGCCAAAAAATGCATAACATGAATCAAATCATAAGTAGGCATCAGCAAGTCTTGAGAAATAGCCTGAAAAAATGACTGGCCTGTATTCTTCAAAAATATCAATATCAAAAAAGACAAAAAGCCTGAAAAACTGCTACAGATTACAGAAGACCAAAGAGATACGACATCTAAACACAATACATGATCCTGAACTGTATATCTAGTAGCAAAATTTAAAAAAAAATTCCTACTAAAGACACTATTAGGGGCAATAGGAAAAAAGTGAAATGTAGGTTATAAATTATGTTTCATATTGATGTTCAATTTCCTGAATTTGATAACTGTAGTGTGGTTACACAAAAAGATACCCCTGCTCTTAGGTTACACACACTGAAGTATTTATACACAGAGAGAGAAGAAGAATGAGCAAGCAAATGTGGCAAGATGTTAAAAAACAGCATATCTTAGTAAAGAGTATATAGGAGTGCTTTGTATTAGCCTAATAATCTTTCTGTAGATTCGAAATCATTTAGAATAAAAGATTAAGAAAGTGGTCCATTTCTTCATTCCCTACTGAATGAAGTACAAATCCTCTGCCCAAAATTCAAGTTAGACTCTTAGAAATACTATCTCAGTATACTTTTATAACTTTCTTAGGTTACTGTGTCAAACAATCTTTAATCAAAGTGTACATTCCCTACACGTACATTCCCTAAACGTTTTCTTGACTCCATGAATTTGCTCATGTTCATGTCTAAAATATACTCTCAGCTGGACACAGTGGCTCATGTCTGCAATTCCAACACTTTGGAAAGCTGAGGCAGCAGGATTACTTGAGACTAGGAGTTCTAGACCAACCTGGGCAACATAGCTAGATCCCCAACTATACAAAATAAAAATTTAACTAGCCAGGCATGGTGGCGCATACTTGCAGTCCTATCTACTTGGGAGGGAATGCTGAAGTGGGAGGATCACTTGAGCCCAGGAGTTAGAGGCAGTAGTGAGCTATGATCAAGTGACTATATTCCAGGCTGGGTACAGAGTGAAACCCTGTCTCTTTAAAACAAAAAAATTTTAAAAAAAGGATAACTGTGTGTAGATTTCAGTAGATCAGTAGAGGTGACAAAAAAGAAAGTAGTAGTAGACAGCCAAAAGAAAATCAGAGGTACATGACCAGAGGTCAAGGGTAGGATGGAGATTTAAGGGTAATATACCCAGGAAGAGTAGTTGAAGCTATAAAAATCTGTGAGTTATCTCAGAGTGAAAGAGAGAATGGGGACAACAATTACTCCTAGGACAGCATTTGTTATTAGGTGGTAGCAAAGGTAAATATGGTAAGTGAGGCAGGACAAGGGCCATAACACAGCCTGCAGTGCAGGACACTAAGAAATAAAAAGGAGCAGTAGTAAGATAGCATGAAATACGACAATATACTCAAAGGAAAAGAGAACTAAGTAGAGGTATAAACAAAAAGAAGAAGATTCTGCCCTCAGAGGGTACAATAGAAAAAAAGAAAGAAGAAGAAGGAAGAACATGGAGCATAATAGCATGACAGACATGGGGCCCAAATGAAGTTTTAAAGGTCAGGAAGTATTTTAACGAGCGCCTACTATGTGCCAAACATTGGATTTAAGAAAGGAAATTGGCTGGAATTAGCAATACACTAATGTTTGGAGAAGGGAGAATATAGAAGGGAAGGGAAAAAAATCTATACTCTATAATTATTACCTAAATAGAGTCTTACCAGAAGATAAGAAGATTCATCTTGTATAATCTGAGCCTGCAAACAACATAAAGAATAAGGAAAATTTAAGATGGCCTCTAGCGCTGGTCTTCCCATTAATAAATACATATTATGGAATACAAATTATAATACATTTTTAAACATAATTATGAGTTTTATAAAGAAGTTCTGTAATCTAGTTTAACACTGTAATGTAAAATAATGAACTTGTTTGGAAGAGGCTATTTATGGAAACCACAGCGTATCATTTTAAGTTGTTAAATAATCCTTACAAGATTACATTTAAGAGAAGGCCTGTTGCTGAGGCAGAAAAGAATCCAACAAGTTCAAAGCTACGCAGTGATCTGAACTAGCACTCAGAGGCATGTCCAGGTTTGGTGCACACTGCTCTGCCTATTCAAACATCCTTTTCGTTTAAGACACCTCTGACTACTTTTCTTCTTCCTATCCACCCCCCACCTCATTCTCCTCCTTTCTGGATAAGAAAAGTGAAACACATTTTCACTAATCTGCCATTATTGCAAACAATTCATGCTACCACTGATGCAATATTATATGAACCGTAAGTTTCCACTGCTTGCAAAATGGCATTCTGTTTTCATGATTATCTTATGAAAATATTCTTCGTGAAATTAAATATTGCAGTTTTACTGACTATGAAACAGAAGTTGCCATAGAATGACTGTACTAATAACTCACAGAAACATTCATGATAGCATGTGCAGGAAAGAAAGACATGTTAAGGAAAGAAATGTATGTCAAGGAAAGAAAATAACTTGTGATTTATCAATTCACATGGCATTATTAGTTACATAAATTTTATCCAACTTAATCTTTTGAAAATCCAGAACTACAAATTATTTTAATAAACACACCAGACTACATCTAATTTTGCTCTGACCACGATATCAACTCAATAGTGATGCAGCTTTAGAGCACGGTTTAATTCATGAGTTGTTTTCCAGGAATGAAATAATGACATCAAGGCCATAACTCAAGGGCAGATTTTGTAAAATGCATTAAACAGGAGTGTAGCTTCCATGGATAGGAAATGACTTCACCAAGTGATACAATGTATAATTTTATATTGCAGTTAAAATGTTTTTCTTCATCAATACTGATGAGCTTTGTAATTTCTATTTTTTAATTGCCATTAAGATTCACATTTAACAGAAAAGTATGTTCCCTTTGCTAAGTAAATTCCAGTCATTCCTTCTACATTCCTCCACTCACTCCTATACCTGTGCTCTCTGCACTCACTGCTTCTAGGTACTCTGTACTTGTAATTATGATGAACAGTGATAATATGCTAGTCTCATTTCTATAGTTCTGTATATTGAATGTGACAATTAAGAAAACTGCTGATCTCATGCGATCCCAGGATAACTAAACTGTTACAGAGGCCACTCTTTTTAACACAATAAAAATTATGTTAACTTACTTTCACTAGATAACCTTTGGCATTTCAGCCTGTGTCTATATTTTTCATTTTCTTCAAGCATTCTTGAAATGACTTTGTATACTCTATTCCATACTAAAACCTTAAAAAGATAAGCACAGTAAAAGAATGCTGAGCAGAAAGGTAGGAATATATTTTCATGGAGGCAACCGGGAATGACTCAATTGTGTTCTATGTCAATTGATATCATCATTATAAGCCTATATCAGCATTTAGAGAACTAAAACCTAAGTGTACTTGTTTACCCACAATCACTGAAATATCTGTTCTCTTCTTTGAAATTCCTAGAATTTCCCCCCGTAGTATTTAAATTAACAGTCCTGGATGAAGTTGCCTTTCAAAGGCAATGACTATAAAGTCCAACCTAATTGATTCTAACACATTCCATTCTGAAAGGCAATTTTTAAAAATTGTGAATTTATATTCCCATGATTAAACCATTGGGCAATGATTTTATTTTTAAATGTATTTTATTCCAGTTAAGAACTAAGTATTTCTCCTAGGACACACCAAAGCAATAGGACTAGAGAACGTAAATATACTGGCAGAGAAAGAACAAGGATTATAGAATCAAACAAATACATCTAGGCTCAAATTCTGGCTTTGCCATTTTCCAGTTGCCTGACAATGGGAGAGTATTTTAATCTCATCTAGGAATAACTTCATACACTGGATTATAAGAATTAAGGATAAAATATTTAATACATATGTAAAGCACTTACCCCAGTATCTGGCACACACTAATTAAAAGGAAGTATTGGTTATTGCTCTGTTCTCCTCACCTAAAGGGAACTGGTTCTCAGAAGAAACATCTCTTAGTACAGTAGGAAAATTAGATGCTCACTCAAAATATATTTGGTACAAGAGTTAGTAACCTCTAATGCTATTTTATACCATACACAGATATCAAACAACTCAAAGCTCAGAAACAACACAATGTTATGTGTCACTATCAACCAATAATTTCTTTAAACTGAATATAAATGATGCTGTGAAGTATAAACATACAGTGGCAATCAAAGATTTGCAGAGCATCTGATCTTGAATATGTTCAAAACACTCAAGTTACCATGACATTTGGACAATTAGCAGCGAGAACAGTTCAGCAGCAGCGGATCATCCTTCTCAGATTGCCTGCTAGAAACCTATTACATATTCCTTGTCTTTAAAAAGACCACTATAGATACATTATTACTTTCTATGAAATCTGTGATTTTCTTCTTATACTACATTATCTGTCACAGTTTATTATCTTCTATGGAACATATATCATGCTTTGAAAAATCCTCCAATGGGGTTACATTTTGATTAAAATGTGTTTTATACCTTCACTGGTATAACACTGGAAGGACAATTCTTTATGGCTAATAAATATTTCCAAACCCAGTTCCATTTCTGCTGAATTACTTCTATTTCTCATTTCAGAAAATTAAATTATTCAAAAGATGGAACTATTTTCACTGTCTTGAATATCTTTACACATTTGTATTTAGCGAGGATGATCTAAAATTCAAATATTGCTCATTCTCCTTCATAGCAATATACCTTTTTCTTTTTCTTCATTATTTTGGAAGCTTCATTCAATGGTATGGGAAAATCAAACTTTTTAGCTGCATCCTTCTGGATTAAACCTAATATTTAAGAAGAAAGTGAAAAGGTCAACATATGTAAGGATTTACTATTTGAAAATAGAGACCATATAAATGTTTCCTGAGGTCTCTTTGAGGATTTTTATACTTGTTGGTATATTTCTGATCACCAGGTAATACTGGTTTACCAGTTCACTAACAACATGTTGAAAACAACCAAGAAAACTAGACATAATCTGGCAAGTACCTAGAAAATCATCCAGCTAGTTCAGTCTTCTTTTTCTGGTTTGTAAGGCTAGTCCCAAAAAGACCAACAACAGAATGAACAAATACCAGATAACACATCTTGCCCCAGTGTATCTCTACAGTCTCCATTCTTCTCAGTGCAACTCCAGACAGACACTACATGTCCAACTACACAATACTACACAATACCTTGTGGTTCCTCAAATGTATCTAATTCCTAAGACTTTCAGTGCACACACACACACACACACACACCCACACACCTCCCAGGCAAATTTCTACCTGTTCTTCAAGACTCAGCTCACACGTACCTCTTCTCTACAGCCTTCCCTCAAGCACACGCAGCTCAACACCCAGCACTGGCTCCCAGAACACCTTCTTCACAGCACTCAGCCCACCTTTTTATCATGCGTTTCCTCCACTAGGCTCTGACCTCCTGGAGGGCAGTGGTCATGTGTGTCTTACTCATCTTCCCACTCACACTACCACACACACAGTAGTATAATAAGGGTTATCCAGAGTGAACGGGCTTCCTGAATACTCACTAAACCATGCTGCCTTCCCAAATGTTAACCGTTAGAAGAAAACCCAAGGGTTTGTTTTTCCAAAGACAAAATTATAAAATAATGAGCATGTGTTCCCCGAAAGCCTTTCTATTGACTCTCATTTTGTCTAGAATATTCCCTCACCTCAACCCTTCCCCACCTTGTTCCTGCCCTACCACTGCTCTATATCTCACTTGCTTCTACTCATTCAATACTTAGCTTTCCAGGGAGCCTTCTCTGATCTGACAAAGCACCCTCTGCTCAGGTATCATAGGATTTATGGCACCGTTTACTTGAGGAGAGTGTTTTATTCTTCACTGGAGATCCAGTATCCAATTCTATAGATATTGGCTATACAATAAGTATTCCATTTATTGAATAAACTAGAATATGTTCTAAAATGGCATTTCTGAATTTGTGAGAAACATGCCACTGATTTGGAGCAGGTCACAGACATACAGACATAGCACTAAGGAATATTAACTCGTGGTGAGAAACTCATTCCCTTTCCAGTTTTTTTCAATCTTCTGATTACCTTTGGGAGAAAGTCTAAGTTTGGTACCAGCATGTCATTAAGACTTCTCTAAGACTTGTTCGTCTCCCTTTGTGACCACGGACAGCTCTCAGGAGACAACCTACTTAGCTAGAATTTAATAATACTGTTTTGCCTTTATTATATTTGTTTCTAATTAATTTCTATTTATAGCAAATGGTACAGGTTTTCCACTGAAGTAATGATTTAAAGTGTTCTAAAAAGAAATTTAATTAAAAGGGAAAATGTACCTATTTAAATAAATATATTAAGTAAATAACAGTACAGATGATATGTAGGTATGCCATAGGAAAATAAGTTTGGGAAACTCTGCTCTCCACATACCCATATCTATCGTTCCCTCTAAATGCCTACAACCTTTGGAATACTATATTTGCATCATTCCCAAATGCTTCTTGTTTGTAAGCCTTACCCAACATAAACCTATACTCCTTGAGAAAGCACAGGAGTCATCAAGTCTACCTGTAATTACTTGGGGATCTAAAATACAACAAGTACAGAAGATATGAAAAAGAAAAAAGACATATTTCTTCACTCATTTTGTGTATTGTACTGAGACTAGCTCCATTGTATTTCATGGATTTCGTCCTGACTTATGTTTCAAATCTTTCTCTAGTCCTCTCTAGTCCTCTTTCCACCCACTCTGACCCAGTCATTCTTCCTAATCGTTGCCCATCACTGATCCATACTCAGCACTTTGTTCACATGTTTTCCCCACCTAATTCTCCTATCTCAGCCCCACGTGTAAATCTCATGGAGCTTCCACCTGATTCTCTCATTCCCCAAATTATTCACCACTTCCAAAGCATTCATTTGTACTTCCACAATAGCATTCATCATCTTCCATTATGTATAAATTATAAATGTAGCTTTCAAGTTCTGTAAGGACAGGGAACTGGCCTGATTTATCAGTCTTATTTGAAATGTTAGAAGAGTTGATTTGCCTACTTCTGAATCTCTAAACTTCAGTACATTTTCCAAACAGCTTATAGTTTATCTTCCAAAAGTGCAGCTGTCTCTGATAACTTTACTCCACCCCACCATTCAAAAATCTTCAGTGACGATAAAAATGACAGTCTTCAAGGTATTCCATAATGTGGTCCAAAACTTACTTTTCATTCATTCAATAAACAACACATGTCCACTGTGTGCTAGACATGCTAATCACCATCTTCCCTTCAAGCCATCTCTGTTCAATGTGCCAGCATTTACTGGGCACTTATTCTGTGCCAAACACTGTGCTAGGCACTCTGCAGGTATTACTTCATTTAACCTTCACAGCAACCCTTTAAGGTAGGAACCATTACCCCCATTTTACAGATAAGGACACTGAGAATAATAGTGGTTAACTAACTTGGCCAATATTATCCTGCTGACAAATGACAGAACCAAGGATTATGTCTTTCTGACTTCAAAGCCAATGCTCTTGATAACCTCTACTGTCCCACTAGTGATTTCTCTATCATGTCCCCTGATTTTCTGCATCTATGCCTCTTCTTTCCTTGAACTTGACTATCAAAGCTATTCTCAGCTCACTCTTACAACACTCATATCTACTAGTTTATATTCCCATTATTCATTAATAAGTCCCTTGAGAGCAGACTACTTGTCCGACACATCTGTGTCACTAACACCTGACCTAGGGCCCACAACATGATAAGTTTTAAGTAAATGTTACTGAAAAAATAATTCATTTTCCCCCATAGAGGGTGACACATTTAATTAATGTCTACTTAATATTAACATTAAGGGCTGGGTGTGGTGGTTCACACCTGTAATCCCAGCACTTTGGAAGGCCAAGGTGGGTAGATCACCTGAGGTCAAGAGTTCAAGACCAGCCTGGCCAACATGGTGAAATCCCGTCTCTACTAAAAATACAAAATTAGCCGGGCATGGTGGCACATGTCTGTGGTCCCAGCTACTTGGGAGGCTGAGTCAGGAGAATCACTTGAACCTGGGAGGCAGAGGTTGCAGTGAGCTGAGATCACACCACTGCACTTCATCCTGGGAGACAGTGCGAGACACTGTCTCAAAACAAAAACAAACATTAAGTACACCCAAGACTGAGTAAAACCTAAGCACTTAAGCACTTTCTGGCTTGGTTTAAATGTAAGTCTACCCCAGGACCCCCTTCCCTTGACTATATCCTTGGCTTCGCAAGCACAGCAGGGTGGTCACTGACGTTAGTAGCTCCATTATCCATCCAGTTGCCCAGCACAGAGACTTCAGACTCGACCACAATTCTTCCTTCTCTCTCAGTAAGCTATGCGATCCTGTCCATTCTGCTCCACTGCCAATGCCTTAGTCAGGCCTTCACTCTTTCCACCAGACTACCGTAACTGCCTCGTAACTGTTCTCTGGTCTCCAGTCTCTCCCACCCCCCAATTCCTTTGTGGCAGGGGTAACATGATCAGATCCAGAGGAAGGAGAACTAGGAGGCGGGAGTGGCTGGACCGAGAAGAAGCTCCAAAACACTTCCCAAAGCCAAACTTGCACCTAAAAAAGATCATGGTTACTGTTTGGTGGTCTGCTGCCAGTCAGATCCACTATAGCTTTCTGAATCCTGGCAAAACCATTACATCTGAGAAGCATGCTCAGCAAATCAACGAGATGCACCAAAAACTGCAATGCCTAGAGGCAGCACTGGTCAACAGTAAGGGCCCAATTCTCCACAACGATGACAGACCATACACTGCACAACCAACGCTTCAAAAGTTGCACAAATTGGGCCACAAAGTTTTGCCTCATCCACCATATTCACCTGATCTCTTGCCAACGAACTACCACTGCTTCAGGCATCTGGACAACTTTTTGCAGGGAAAACGCTTCCACAACCAGCAGAACACAAAAAATGCTTCCCAAGTGTTCATCAAATCCCAAAGTGTGGACTTTTATACTACAAGAATAAACACTTATTTCTTGTTGGCAAAAATGTGTTGATTGTAATGGTTCCTATTTTGATTAATAAAGATGTGTTTGAGCCTAGTTATAATGACTAGGTCCAAAACCACAATTACTTTTGCACCAACCTAACAAATTATCAAAGTAAATTTAGTTCTGAAAGAATAGCAAACAAAATATTTACATAGTTTTCAATTTGAGATTTTTTTTCAGTCTAACCTGCCTCTAAGTCAATCTCTCCTGTACAGCACGGACTAATAAATCTGACCCTATCACTTTTCTTTTTTTTTTTTTTTTTTGAGACAAAGTCTTGCTTGTCACCCAGGCTAGAGTGCAATGGCACGATCTCGACTCACTGCAACCTCCGCCTCCTGGGTTCAAGCCATTCTCCTGCCTCAGACTCCTCAGTAGCTGGGATTACACGTGCGTACCACCACACCTGGCTAATTTTTTATTTTTAGGTTAGAGACAGGGTTTCACCATGTTGGCCAGGCTGGTCTCAAACTCCTGACCTCGTGATCTGCCCGCCTTGGCCTCCCAAAGTGTTGGGATTACAGGCTTGAGCCACCGTGCCCGGCTCCTATCACTTTTCTTATTCACAATCTTTTAATGCAGGGCTTCTGGGTAGCTGAAGACAACAGCAAGCAAAAACCACACCCTCAGCATTACTTTAAGACAAAGGATGTTGAAGCTGCAAAATAACTGTAAGTAAAATGAAAGAAAAACATTAAATTGCTGCTCTATGATCCCATATGCCCTAGACCTACAGGGGCTCTGGCCAGCAGGGAAGAGAAACTAGAAACACTATAAAAATGCCTCAGAAGAGCTGAAGTGACCAATATTAAGATTACATGCATTCTAAATCTGAAAATACTCAAAAAATTACTAGGCAAATCAGAGTACAGACTATAGGGAAGAAATTTAAAGAGACAGACACAACACAGAATGCCAAGCATGCAATATAATGGACAGACTCAGTTTAAAGGGGCAAGCAAGATTTAAAGGAGCAGTCTTCCAATGGCATGGTTTCTGAGGTGAAAAGAACAAAAAGGATGATAAGTTAGGTCACAGAGAAAACACCAGTAACATCCATAAAATGAAGGCATCACAAACAATACTCTTGATCACAAAAACCCACCGTTTACTAGCAAAATTTAAAAATAAAACTCTGAGACGCTCTGAAAACTTAAAAATTTTAAATCTATTAAGTAACTCTATGGAAAAGAGTTAAAAATTACAGAATTTCTTTTAAAAATAGTGACAATGAAAACACTACATATTGGAAACTATGGGATGTATTTAAAGTAGTGGTTAGAAGAAAATTCACTGCACTAAACACTTAATAACAAGAATAAAAATAAATGAATTAAATGTCCTACTCACAAAAAAAGTATAAGAAGAACAAAGTAAACCCAAAGAAAGAACAAGAAGTAATAATATTAAAAGCAGAAATTAATGAGGAAGAGACTAGAGAAACAAAATATCTAATTAATAAATCAGAACTTTGATTTTTCTTTTTTAGAGACAGGTTCTCACTCTGTCTCTCCAGGCTGAAGGCCATATCATAGCTCACTAAAGCCTTGAACTGCTGGCCTTAAGCAATTTTCCCGTCTCAGCCTCCCAAAGTGGTAAACTTAGAGGTGTGAGGCACTGTACCTGGCCAAAATCTTAGTTTAAAAAAAAATTAACAAAACAGACAAAATGTTGGCTAATTTGATCACAAAAAAGGGAGAGTGCATGTATATACAGGAAAAGAAACGACAAGAGGGAAATAACCATTAAAACGCAAGAAAATGTTTAAACATCATAAGACACTACTTTGTAGACATCTATGCAAACGAATTTGGAAACCCAGATGAAACAGATAATTCCTTAAGGAAATACAGGTTACTAAAATTGACCTATTAGAGTTAGGAAGCCTACAAAGGTCAATCTCCATAGAAAATATAGAGAAAGTTATTAAGGAATTATCCCACAAAAAGCACTAGGTCCTAATAGTTACAGAAGAATTCTACCTAAACTTCAAAGACAAGATAATCCCAACATTCTATGAATTATCCAAGAGCATAGAAAAGGAAAAATTCCTGATTCCTTTTATGAAGTAAACACAGCTCTGATACCTAAACCCGATAAAAGAGTACAAAGAAAAACTAAAGATCACTATCCCTTCTGAATACTGATGCAAAAATTATAAACAAATTAGCAGAGTCCAACACTATATTACGAAAATAACACACTAAAACCAAGTAGAATTTACTTCAGGAATGCAAGGTTGGTACAATAATCAGAAATCCATTTATATTACATTCCATATTAATGAATAAATCTAAAGAAAAAGAGTATCTCCATAGACCTGAGAAATCCTCTGACAAAAATCAACACCCATTCATGATAAAAAAAAAAAAAACCTGAAAAAATAAGTATTGAGGGATACTTTGTAATATTTGAAATATATAATCCTTAGACAGATAGCCAGTACCTTATTTAATGGGGAAACACTATAGGCATTTACCCTACGGTCAGGAACAAGGCTAAGGTGCCCGCTATCTCCAATAGTATTCAATATTGCCCTTGAGGTATTAGCAAATGCAATTAGACAAATCTATTGCAGGCAAAGAATGGGTGAAAAAGAAAATTATATCTCTTTACAAATAATATATATTGATACCTGGAAAATCCTGAGAATCAAGGATAAAACTAATAATAAAAGTGTCCAGTGAGTTAACAGGATCTAAAATTAGCATGCAAAAACCAATAGGCTAAGTGAAAGAAGCCAGTCACAAAAGCCCACATACTCTATGACTCAACATATATGAAATGTCCAAAATGGTTAAATCTATGGAGACAGAAAACAGATTAGTACTTGGTTAGGGCTGAGCTTATGCATAAAGGAGGGTAAATAGGGAGAATGGTGAGCAATGTTTAATGGATACAGGGGTTCTCTTGGGGTTAAAAATATTCTAAAATAGTGGTGATGGTTACACAACCATGAATATGTCAACTATGCATGCAAAATGGGTGAACTGCATGCACTGTGAACTATAGTTTAATAAAGTTGTTATTTTATAAGTACAGCTGATGGAAATGTTCTATATCTCGATTATGGTGGCAGTTACCAGGGTGTGTATAAATCTGGCAAACCTCTTCAAAACATATGTAAATTAATCCTCAGTAAAATTGATTTAGAAAAACCAAGAGAGGGCTGGGCTTCGTGGCTCATGCCTGTAATTCCAACACTTTGGGAGGCTGAGGCGGGTGGATCACCTGAGGTCAAGAGTTTGAGACCAGCCTGGTCAACATGGTGAAACCCCATCCCTACTAAAAATAGAAAAAAAATTAGCTGGGCACGGTGGCAGGTGCCTGTAACCCCAGCTACTTGGGAAGCTGAGGCAGAAGAACCACTTGAACTAGGAGAGCGGAGGTTGCAGTGAGCCAAGATCATGTCATTGCACTCTAGCCTGGGCAACAGGGCAAGACTCTGTCTCAAAAGCAAGGAAAAAGAAAAACCAAGAGAGGCCTGGCCCAGTGGCTGATGCATGTAATCCCAGGGCTGGGAGGCTGAGGCAGGAGGATCACTTGGGCCCAGGAATTCAAGACCAGCCTGGGTAACATAGGGAGACCCCCATGTCTACAAAAGATAAAAAAGTAGCTGGGCATAGTGGTGCCCACCTGTGGTCCCAGCTACCCGGGAGGCTGAGGTCAAGGCTTCAGTGAGCCTGTGATTGGACCACCACACTCCAGTCTGAGTGACACAGCAAGAACCCGTCTCAAAAAAAATAAATTGGCTTCCTATACACAATAAGCATTTAGAGGGCATTACGTAAAAAGAAACTCCATTTACAACAGCAAAGAAGATTAAATATTTAGGAATAAATTGATCAAGACATATGCAAAACCTATGGGAGGCTAATTTTTGAATTTAAGACATTTCCTGATTTAAACGTAACGCTCATGCTGTTTTTAGTCAGGCTGACTCAACAGCACCCAGAAGTCAGTCCTCCAGGTGAGGGGGGTTCACGAAGTCAACCAATCTCCCTCCGCCAGAACGGCAACACGCAGGACAAAGCCTCCGTGAGGGGGCCGTAAAGGCTCCATTCAACAACCTCTCCTCTTATGTCAGGTGCCCGTCCCAGCTACGACTAGTCCTCTGAAGGGAATTACTGGGCTTCTACTTTGCCCGCGCTTGCTCGCAACACGGCTTGACAGGAAAGCGGCCCCCAACCTCCCACGTGCCGCAAGATGGCCGCCACCAGGTGACCCTGCCCGCCCCCGCGGCGCGCGTCCCGCCCCGCCGCTCCGCGGTCCCGCCCGTCCCGCCCCGTCCCGCCCGCCGCTTCCCGGTCCCGCCCCGTCCCGCCCCGCCGCTCCGGGTCCCGCCCCGCCGCGCCCGGTCCCACCCCGTCCTGCCCCGCCCCGCCGCGCCGGGTCCCACCGCGCCCCGTCCCACTGTGCCACCTGCACGGGTCGACGGTCTGGTGCCGCTTCGCACGCTCGACGTCCGCAGCTGGGAGGAGGCAGGGGCCGCGGCCTCCACACCAAGGGTCGTGGCGACCCTGGGCCGGGAACCAGAGGGCAACTCACTGCCACCCTGGACTCCCGCCATCGCCGGTGCTTCCTTCGGCTTCTCCTGGCGATAGCCAGCCCTGGACCCCTGACCCCAAAGGCCTTGAGCTCCGCGGCCGCCCAGCTGCAGGACGCCACCGCACTGATGCGAGCCGAAGCGCGTCACATAGACGAAGCGCGCAGAGTCCTGCTCCCGACCCCGGCCTGCCGCCGCCATCGCAGCCTCAGTCAACGGCTGCCCGGTCCTCAGCAAACCCGATGCTTCAGGCGCCGGACGGCCCACTGTGCAGTCGAGGGGTGCGGGGAGCGGTTAGGGCCAGACCACCCTGCGGGGATTGCCGGGAGGGAGTTAGGGCCGGACCACCCTGCAAGGATGCGGGAGGGGGTTAGGACCAGACCACGTCGTGGGGATGGGGGAGGCACAGGGTTAGGGCCAGACCATGGCGCCGGGATGAGGGGGACAGGTTTAGGGCCGGACCACCCCGTAGGGATGCTGTGACGGGGTTAGGGCCAGACCACCGCATGGGGATGCGGGGGAGGAGGTTAAGGCTGGACCATCCCACAGGGATGGGGGGGATGGCGCTAGGGCAGGACCACCCACTAGGGATGGGGTGACGGGGTTAAGGCCGGATCACCACTTGGGGGTGGCGGGGACCACCATGCAGGGTGGGGCAGGGAGGTTAGGGCCGAACCACTGCTGGGGGCTGGAGGGAGAAAGCTGGGCTTGAGGAGCGAGGGAGCCGGTCACTGTGTGGGCTGCCGGAGTCGGGGAAGGGCATGCTGCTGGAAAGTGAGAGGCTCAGGAGAGATGGAGAGAAATGGAAAGAGGGCGGGTGCTGGGTTGAGGACGATGATGAGGTACAGACCCCTCAGAGGAAATGAGCTACTCCAAGAACAGGGTGGGAGAAAGGGACCAGGTCACTACTAGGGAGACACCCCCATGCTTGGGTGCAGGAGGATTTCAGAGTGAGGAACCCACACAGGACTTGAGCAGCCTGGAGCATCAGCCACGTGAATCTGGGAGCCTCCGGGAGAACACAGAGCCCTTGGCTGCCGGAAGGTTCCAGTATGCCCTTGGCCTGGCAGGTGGTGGTGATGGAGCCATGATCCCCAAGAGACACAGGGCTGAGGGGACGGGGATGTGAGGCCCAACCTCGTTAGGCACTGGCCAGCTGGGTTATTTGGGCAAGCCCTTTACCCTCTCTCTCTCCTTTTTCCCTTTTTTTTTTTTTTTTTTTGAGATGGAGTCTCCCTCTGTCACCCAGGCTGGAGTGCAGTGGTGCGATCTCAGTTCACTGTAACCTCCACGACCCAGGTTCAAGCGGTTCTCCTGCCTCAGCCTCCCGAGTAGCTGGGATTACAAGGATGAGCCACCACACCCCACTTATTTTTGTATTTTTAGTAGAGATCAGGTTTCACCATGTTGGCCAGGCTGGTCTTGAACTCCTAACTTCAGGTGATCCGCCGGCCTTGGCCTCCCAAAGTGCTGGGATTACAGGTGTGAGCCACCGCGCCCAGCCGCTTTCCTTTTCTGAGCCTCCAGTGTCTTCAGATGTAAACTCAGGAGAACTGAGTTGTGAGGATGAATCAAAATAAGGTGTATATTCAGCATCTGGCACACAGCGAGAGATAGTTGTCCATTCAGGACATAACCTGTGAGGTGCATATTGTAATTTCTTTACATTTAAACTTTACAAATAGGTTTCCCACTAACCCTTTCTTCCCGCCCCCCCGCCCCCGCCTTTGTCAGAGTCTTGCTCTTTCGCCAGGGCTGGAATCCAGTGCCAGGGCTGGAGTCCAGTGATGCAATCTTAACTCATTGCAATCGCTGCCTCCCATGTTTAAGCGACTCACCTGCCTCGACCTCCGGAGACTGCAGGTGTGCACCACCACACCCAGCTAATTTTTGGCTTGGCTAATTTTTATATTTTTAGTAGAAATAAGGTTTTGCTATGTTGGTCAAGCAGGTCTTGACCTCCTGGGCTCAAGCAATCTGCCAGCCTTGGCCTCCCAAAATGCTGAGATTAGAGGCGTGAACCACTGTGCCCACCTGACCATCTCTTTAAATTCATGTACCATTTTATGCCAGAGGAACTGGGACTCCAAAATGTGAAGTTACTTCCCCAAAGTAATAGGCAGTGACAGAGACATACTTTCTTAAACATTTGTTATTGAATTATATGCAGAAAGCTGCACAAATCATCACTATGGAGATGGCTGAATCTTTACACAGTGAATATACTTGTGTAAGATCCATCAAGGTTAAGAAATGGTGCACCGCAGAAACACCTCATGTCCTCACCCAGTCACCATCCTTTTCCTTTTTTTGGTTTCAGATGTCATCAGTGGCCAGATGCCAGTAATACCAGGACTTTGGGAGGCTGAGGAGGGCACTTCAGCTATAGAGGTCAAGGCTGCAGTGAGCCCTGATCACACCACATCACTCCCCCTGGGCAATGCAGCAAGACCCTTTCTCCAAAAAAAAAAAAAAAATCGTCAGTTAGGTTTATCCATTTCATTTAGTTTTTTTTTTTTTTTTTTTTTTTTGACGGAGTCTCGCTGTCGCCCAAGCTGGAGTGCAGTGGCGCGATCTCGGCTCACTGCAACCTCCGCCTCCCAGGTTCATGCCATTCTCCTGCCTCAGCCTCCTGAGTAGCTGGTACTGTAGGCACCTGCCACCACGCCCGGCTAATTTTTTGTATTTTTTAGTAGAGACAGGTTTCACCACGATAGCCAGGATGGTCTCCATCTCCTGACCTCATGATCCGCCTGCCTTAGCCTCCCAAAGTGCTGGGATTACAGCCGTGAGCCACCGCGCCTGGCCCTAATTTACTTCTTTCACTCAAGTTATGTCAGTGAGATACATGTTATTGTGAAACCGAGAGCTAACCTGAATAAACTCACAAAACTTAACCTGCCTTGCTTGCTTTACATTGCTTGCTTCTGGTTGTTCTTAAAACGAGGTGGGCAGATCACTTGAGGTCAGGAGTTCAAGATCAGACTGGCCAACATGGTGAAACCCTGTCTCTACTAAAAATACAAAAATTAGTCGGCGTGGTAGTGGGCACCTGTAATCCAAGCTACTCGGAAGGCCAAGGTGGGAGAATTGCTTAAACCCAGGAGGCAGAAGTTGCAGTGAGCCAAGATCATGCCACTGCACTCCAGCCTGAGTGACAGAGCAAGACTCTGTCTCAAAAAAGAACAACAACAACCAAAAAAAAAGAAAAACAAAAAAAAACTAATGCTAGCTATGACCTGAGTCCATGGATGAGAAAGAAAAAAAAAAAAAAATCCCACTATTAAGTCATATAGCCAAACAATACATAACTAAACTCCTACAAGCTTCCTTATAGATAACATCTCTGGATGTTGGTCGCTATAGTAACGGGTGCTTAAAGATTGTTTTTCAGGAACTGGAAGGTAGCTCTTGGTCATTTCCAGTAGGTTAAGACCACCAGCCCTTCAACTGGGCCTGCATGGATGCCCGAAGAATGACCTTTGGATGTCAGAGGCCCAAAAACCTCACCCTCAGATCACGCCAATGCAGCCATTTTCTGCACACGTGTGAAGAATGATGTAGCTTGATTACACTCTTGCAGAAACCCCAATTACCTCACCTTTCCTCCCTACCAATCATCTTTCCCCACACTTGAAACCACCCTGCTTTCTATTCCTTAAATACCCTCTAGCCCTGTATTTGGGGAGGTGGATTTCAGGTTTGTTCTCCTGTCTTCTCACACAGTAGCCTTGCAAATGAAATCTTTTCTCCCTTGCAAAACCCATCACCTCAGTGATTGGCTTGCTGCCTGAGGGCAGAATGAACTTGGTTAGTTAACAACTGTAGAAGTTTGCATATCATTTGACCATGTCACCATTTTTTATCCTTTCCACTTATTGATGGACATTTAGTTGTTTCCAGTTTGGTTCATTATTAGTGTGGCTAAGAAGAATCTCATACATACCTTTTGTGGAAACAGGTTATAGGCTAGATATGTTAGTGTGGAGTTGCTTAGGGTGTTCATACGTCCAGCTATAGGTGCTGCTGACAAAACAGGTATCCAAAATGGTTGTACCAATTTACACTCCTCCAGCCAAGTATGAGGGTTCCACTTGCTCCACTTGTTCACCCCCACTTGGCATTGTCGTCTTCATTTTAGCTATTCTCATGGATATGTGTATTAGGGTTTTCCAGAGAAGCAGAAGCAAAAGACTGTATGTGTGTGAGAGAGAGAGAAACTACAAGGTACATCAGCAAACTCAGAGATCAAGGGAAGAGTTGATGCTGCAGTTCCAGTCTAAAGGTCCTCTGCTGGCAGAATTCCCCCCTCTTCAAGTGAGCCCAGTCTTTTTCTTCCAGGCTGATATGGTTTGGCTGTGTCCCCACCCAGTCTTGTCTTGAATTGTTGTTCCCATGATCCCCACGTTGTGGGAGAGACCTAGTGGGAAGTAATTGAACTGTGGGGAAGTTATCCCCACGTTGCTTTTCTCATGATAGTGAGTGAGTTCTCACAAGATCTGATGGTTTTATCAGGTGCTCTTCCACCTTCTGCTCAGCATTTCTCTTTGCTGCTGTAATGTGAAGAAGGACATGTTTGCTTCCGCTTCCACCATGATTGTAAGTTTTCTGAGGCCTCTCCAGCCGTGCCAAACGGTGAGTCAATTAAACCTCTTTCTTTTATAAATTACCCAGTCTTGGATATGTCTTTATGAGCAGTATAAGAATGGACTAATACACAGGCCTTCCAATGATTGGATGAGGCTCACACATATTATGGAGGGTAATCTGCTTTACTCCAAGTCTACTAGCTTAAATGTTAATCTCACTAAGAAAAAAGAAATACCTCACAGAAACACACATCACTGTCTCGTTAGGGTTGGTAACTGGCACTTTGCTTTGTCTGTCTGAGAAGGTCATGGTTCCCTGTTTGCTGTTGTTTGTTGTGGATGTGCATCCATGTCTTTGCGTGAAAGGTTATATTTTCCGGTCTTCACATCCAGCTTGTTTTTGTCTTTCTAGGGTATGTTTGCTTAGCGATTCTTTGCAGTCCACCTGTTGAATCCCGTTTCCACTAGGACACTGCCTCCTTTTCCACACTAGATGGCCCCTTAAGCCCAGGTTTGCCTCCCTTTCACAAGCATTAGTAGCGCTGCCAGACTGGGATGGAGGGTGATGGGTCCCAAATGAAACACTCCAGCCATGTGGGAAGGCTGGGAGGG